AATCCAGCATTTCTGTTTTAGGAGTCAATCTCTGAAACTAGAGGAATGGCCTGAATTCATGCCAGCTGAACAGCAGCAGCAAGATCCAGGGACATACTGCAGCTCACCTTTCTGTGACAGGAGAAAGGAGGTCTGCATCAGGGTTGGAGAAGGACCTTTGAGAATGATCACCCATGATTTGGGCAATCAACAAATCCTTTGTCATGGAGAGACTCTCTCAGGCACAGGCCACTGTCTTCATCCCTTTCTCTTTTTTTTCAAATAATTTTTATTAACAGGCCAATCAAATCACATTAATTCCAAATCACATTAATTCCAAATTACACAGCCAAATTTTAAAATTTTTGTTGGGGGTACCCATGCTTCGAGCTCAGAACAGGATCCAAACATCTCTCTTGCTGCTGCTTTAATTACACAGTTCTGTCAAAATAGTATTCACAGTTCTGTTCAATCTTCTCTTTGTTATTTTCCTCATCTTCTTGTTGTTATCATATATTCCTTTCTTTGTGATCTCTGGTGGCCTCCACAAGCAGGTTGAAAACAAACGTTGTTATATCCTGTGTGGATTTTACACTCCTCCAAGAGCCATATCAAAATAGACAGACGCCATTTCCACACCTCCGTACAAAGCATTCCCAAAGTCTGTCCGTTAATTTCTACAGGCCTGCCAGTCTCTCCTCAATTTTCTCAGGGGGCCCTGCTAGGTCAAACTCACAGTCCGGTATAATAACAAGCCATGGTCCTCCTCCCCCTCGATCATCCTGTGGCAGGCCTGCCGTAACAAATCTCTTTTTATTACTGCGTCACAAAGAGCTTTCATTCCTTTCCCGATGTTCCCACAGCCCATGTCTTTGATTAGTAATTTATTTCCACATAGTTCTCAATCATCCTGCTTGTAATCAGTAATTGCAACGATTCTTTCTTGGGGGTGTGTGTTAGGTACTCACATAAGATAATTTAAAAAAGTCCCCCCCCTTTTCAGTCCCGCTCCGACATACCGATCCTTTGAGGAATCTTCTTCTTGATTTATGATTGAGTCCAGCCCGTCACTCCACTTCACAGAGATCACTTTAATTAGCAGTCTTATCTCCCGATCTTCACTCGAAATATGTGCATTTGCTTCTCTCTAATTGTTTATTTTGAGCTCTTGCAACCAGATGCGCAATCAGAGACAGCTTCAGGGAGAGCCGTCTCGCACGAGGGCTGTGTGCCTAGTGCCCTCACCCCCTTCTTTCGAATCTGGGGGTGATTTATGGCAACCGCAGGCAAGGCAGTGTTCCCCATTCCCTTGGGGTAACAAGGGAGGCTGCATACTCCCACATCAGCCTCTTAATTACCTCATGTGAGCCGGAGAGATGGAATTGTCGGCCATCTTCCAATGCGCCCCTAGCGGCCCCCGTCTTCATCCCTTTCTCAACGGTGCCAGTCCAAGCCACTGCTGAACCACTATGATGCCAAACACCCATTGCCCCCCCCCCGAATTTTAGGGAGCTTTAGTTTGTTAAGGGGGCAGAGAATTGTTTGGAGATTGCCTTTTCCCATCACAGAGCTACAGTTCTCCACCCCTCTCCTCAGGGAATTTAGGAATTATAGCTCGGGGGGATTGGGGTGTCAGGGCATGGTCTGAATCAGAGGGTTGGAGAATGTATCCCCAGGCAGAGTAACTCCTATCTGGAGAGCAGTTGGAGGGGGAAGATTCGCGTGCCCCCCCCCCCCCGGTCTCCAGCGGTTTCAGAAGCAGGGACAGATACTGACACTGATCAGCTTCATCAAGAGTTACCTAGCTACAAGATAATGGATAGATAAAAGGAAGGGAGGGAACAGCCAGCAGAGACATCATTAGAGAGTGTGAGGGACTCTCCCTCCCTAAGAACTAGAAGGTTCATCTGTATTAGAGAACAAAGAATGCAGAGAGGAGGAGGAACTTCCTGTTGGCATCCAGGATGTTGCTGCTTTCCTTGTGGAGCGATGTGGATTTTTGCTTTCAACCATATCACTGAATAAAAAGGACTATAAATTATAAACTGTTCATTAATTCTTATTTGTGAAGTTACCAAAGATAGGGGAGGACTCTCCACGTATTAACAAGGGGTCTCCTAACAACTCTCAGCACCTTTAACAAACTACCACTCCTGGAAATCTTTGGAGGAAGCTTACTGTGCAAACATGGCTTTAAGGCTCATCCACATTCCTGCTTGTTCCCTGCCTAGAAAGCCTGGGTCCACGTGGTCTGAGCGGTCGTCCCCTTACCCCACTCCTTTTGCGTGGAAAACCTGCTCTTTAGTGCTCGTTCAGAACAAACATCCATCTGGAAAAAAGCCCAAATTGCTATTTGCTCCAATTGAGCGGGGAAAGCAGTGGGACAAGGGGAAGTGAGAATAAGCCCTTAGTTTCATCTAGGGGTTGGTAACACATGTTACACTGAGGGGAAAACACAGCCAGAGACAGCAGCCCATGAAACACCCAACGAACTTCCTGGTTTGGCTGCCAAACAGGAAGTGGGTAGATATGTCACGTACCTGACCAAATGATCCAAAAAATGGCTGGTGGAGATTTATTTGTTTGCTTATGGAATTTATACCTTGGCCTTTAGCCAAAACAGTGGACTATAAAAATCATGACTAAGATGGTTCCTGCATTCCAGCTTCACACCCTAAAAAGACACATCACATGCAGAAAAAGCAAGGGGAAGGAGGAGGGAAAAGCAAGCTCAAGCACATGTTCTTGAAGTCACAGCCTGTCAGTCTTCAGGGAATCTGATCCCCCCACAGAAGGCTGCTAGGAATAGAGGAAACAAGGAAAGTTCTTTCCAATAGCTTTTAATCAATATTCACAGAGAGAGGCTTAGAAATGCAGCCTCTTTTCTCAACTTCCTCAATCGTCATCAGCACCACCCACCTTACGGTGGCCACTTAGGGTCATTTGTCTCCGAGCCCTTTGGTGTCCTATTTTCAACGCCTGCCAGGTTCTGGGAGAAGGGGGGTCTGGAATGCTTTCTAGTGATATCATGTCATCCAGCTGCTCCAGCTCTGCCTCCTCCTCTTCTCCCATAATTTCCCAACTTTGCCTTTCATCCTCCTCTGAGCTATGACCCCCCCCCCCGCAAACCACTGTTGTAAATCTTTACGGTCTTCTTCTTCTCTGGAAGGTTCAGGCTAGGGAGGTGGTGTCCATCACTATTCCTCTGTCCAGTCCCTGGCCCAGCCAATGTCACTCAATGTTCTGCCTGTCTTTTGCTTCAATAAAATGCAATCCCACCCCAAAACGACTCCACACATACACACAAACACACACACACCATGGGTGCCAAATCCTAGGGCCCCTGCTCTTCTGGGTGCCCCATATTTTGGTGGCTGACCCCCCCCAATGCTCCAAACAATTAGGGGGCAGAGGAGACTGAGCACAGAGCCACGTGTGGTTCGGCTTCAGTGGCTGGCTCCTCCTCCTGCTGCGGAGGGGAAGGAGGGGGAAGCAGCACCCATCCAGTGGCAGCAGAGGGAGGAGGGGGAGAAGGCTGAACATGAGAGAGGAGGAACCGCTGGCCATTGAATCCGCACTGCCGCTGCATTTGCCTCCACCTGTCAGGACTGGATAGAGGAGGAATGGTGGAGACCACCTCCCCCTCCTGAACCTTCCAGAGAAGAGGAAGACAGTATAGATTTACAACAGTTGTTTGAGGAAGGTTACGGCTCAGAGGCACACGGGGGCAAATTTGGGAAATAATGGAAGAGGAGGAGGGGTAAGCAGAGCCGGAGCAGCTGGCTGACACGTTATCTCTAGAAAGCATTCCAGACCCGCCTTCTCCCAGAACCCGGCGAGCACTGAAAGTAGGAAAGCAAAAGGCTTGGAGGCAAATGGCCCTAAGCGGGCACCGTAAGGTGGGTGGTGCTGTTGACGAATGAGGAGAGAAGTGGGGTGGAGATTACTCAGAGCAACACCATTACTCCAAGAGGCTGCATTTCTAATCCTCTCTTCGTAATTATTGAATAATAGACATTGGTAAGAACTATCCTTGTCCTATCTATTCTTGGCAGCCTACAATGGGGGGTAGGGGTGGGGATCGGATTCCATGACACCTGACACCACTCCCTGATTCCTCCCGGTATCCTGACATCATGCGTGTGTCATCACCCGTTTCCAATCTTCAGAGCATTTTGGCCCCTCTGACACACTCACACACACACCAACAACAATCTTCAGGAGCAGAGCTAAGAGCGCCTTCACTCTCAAGAGGATGAGACACCTTCTACAATATAGTCCTTCTATTGAAAACTATGTTGCTGCTGGATAGGATCCTCACCAGATGAGGCTTGAGAGAGAAGTGTTCCTCAAACATTTTGAACTTGAGCTGGGGTAGCGAATTTGTCACCCTCCAGGTGTTTCTGGACTGCAGTTCCCGTCATTCCCAGCCAGCATGGCTATTGGTTAGGGTTGATGGAAACTGCATCCATATCAACATCCAGAGGGCTACAGGCTCACCATCCTTGAATTTTGAGGCTCCTCTCTGAACTTTCCCTGTTTTCTGGAGCTGGCTGCACTAATCTCAGAACACAGCAGGCAATAAATGATAATATGGCAGGATGAGGAAGACCTGGAGCCAGATCTCCACTCATCCATGAAACTCCTTGGGCTACACACTATCTCTCAGCCGAACCTACCTCACAGGGTTGTTGTTAGAATAAAAGAGTGCTCCTCCCTTCCTGCCTGCTTGAGGATCCATAGAGGAGCGGGGGAATAAATGGAATAAGTAATAGTATGTAAGGTACATGCCAAACATTCCTAAAGCTAGAAATGCCTCAAGTTGGCATCAGTTTTGCCAAATTTGTTGTCAGAATCCACCGTTCATTCCAGGAAGTCCTTGCACAATAAGAGAGGCATCTCCACCCTTTTTCTTTATGGGTATTTACACTACACAGCACTCCTTTTACTGTGGTTCATTGGAGCAACTCCCTAAAAGATGTTACTGGAGACCCATCTATAAAATGTCCTTTGCACATACATCTGTGCGCAAGAAGCACTCAAGCTCAGCAAGGACCTTAGCCCTACCTTACAACACCATGGTGCCTCTCCTTGTGCTCTGCCTTCTTTCGCCACTCTTAGTTGCCTCTGTGGATCCACGTAAGTTATTTATCATTGATGACATCCCTTTTCCTATGATGCTATTAAGGACAAAATGAAAGGCTAGTACTTTGGAATCACATACCAACTGTGCCATCATTTGATGCTAATCTCTGAGGGTTAAAAACTTTGCAGAGAACTTTCTTACCACAGGAGGATCTGTATGCCAGCTTGAAAACGAGGAGGGGACAGAGGGTGAAGAAAGAGCTGTGAGTGGAGGGAGAAACTTTCCCCATCCTTTGGACCCCCTGGGAGACTTAGCGCATCTGCTGTACCTTGAACTGGGTGTGGAGAGGGCAGCTCAATGGGACACAGCTGTGGGAAACCTAAGGAAGTACCATTGACCTTGGGCTTACCCATGAAAAGCAAGTCTATAGTGAGAGACTAGATCGATGGCCGCTGTTCTGATTGTGAGACTTTTGAGGGTGTGTTTGGACCCTGGGTGAGAACCCGGAGGCTGAGAATGAAAGGAATTGCTATCCAACCTTCCATTTCCACCACGTATGATAAAAGGTACCTTCTACTTCTTTACATTTCCAACACATATTTAATCTTGTTCAATAAATCTTTGCTAATTCAACCGGGGTTATATACCACCGATACATCATTTTCATATGGTTTTCTTTCAATGAGGTACATGCCATAACAGATCTCTCTTCCAGAGCTTTTCCCAGTCTATCATTTGTATATTGTGTGCCACATCTTTTGCCCATTTTATCATGACAGATTTGACCTGTTCCTCTTTGGTATTCCATTCCAAGAGCATATTATACATTTTTGACAGTAATTTGGTATGGTCTATTATCTCTCTCTGAAATCTTGACACTTCATAGCTAAATCCTTTCTTTTTATCATTTTTAAAGGTTTCATTTAATTGAAAATATTGTAACCAATCTGTAACCATTTCTCTGACTTTTACAAACTCCTTTAATTTTAACTGATTATCTATATGTTGACCAATTTGTCCTCAGATTCATTTTTTTAAGAGATATTGCTTCTAGCATGGAGAACCACCATGGTGTTTTGTTTTGTTTTTTGTTCTGATAGATCTTTATATTTCTCCCAGACTTAAAAAACTGATTTTCTTATTATATGATTCCAAAATCATTTATGTAATTTTGCCTTATGGTACCATATATATGCATGCCAGCCAAATCTATTGCCATGGCCTTCTAAATCTAGCAAATCTGTATCTTTTACTTTTATCCAATCCTGGATCCAGCAGATGCAAGATGCTTCATAATATAATCTTAAATCCGGTAGAGAGAAACCTCCTCTATCTTTGATGACTGTTAGTACGTAGTTTATATTTTATTCTTGGTTTCTTCCCTTTCCATATAAATTTTGAAATATCTTTTTGCCATTCTTTGAAGCAGCTCGAATTGCTTCTCACCGGGATTGATTGAAATAAAAACAACATTTTTGGCAATGCATTCATCTCAGTCACTGAAATTCTTCCTAACAATGACAAATTCATTCTTCCCCAAATTTCTAAATTCCTTTTTATTTCTTTTCCAAATTTTCTCATTATTGTCTTTAGATATCTTAATATTCTTGTCTATCAACTATATTCCCAAATATTTAATTTTTGTATGTATATTTATCTCTGTCATCTGCCCCCTTATTTTTCCTGAGGTATTTAACCTCTCCCATTGTCCTAATTGTCCTCTAAAGGGGGGGGGGGAGGCTCCTCCAATCATAGAGCCACAGCAGAACTTCTCCCATTATATTTGTTATGTCTTCACTCTGATATAATTTTGTTCAGCCTTTACTTTCTTCTTCCAGCCCTTAAGTGCCAACAAGGAACTGAAGGTTCTGAGGTTTCAGACTGTGCCAGTGGTTTGAATGCCTGCGTGGTCATCAAGGACGAGAGCACAATGTTTGGTAAGGAAGATGTTGGCCTTGCCTGGTGGCATGCTCCACGCTTTGCCACAATCTATCCAATGGAGTCTGGTGCCCATTAGGACTGGTATGGAAGAAGGCCAATGATGGGCAGAGCCAAATCGTTCTACTTTCGTCCCCATCCTTCTGCTCCCAGCTGAGTTCTGCAAGGGACAACTCTGAGACTAAGAAGGAGTTGGAAGCTGATAGCAGACCCTCCAAGTTTTCCTATTTTCGAGGGACAGTCCCAGATTTACAGAAGCTGACCTGGTTTCTGATTTGATCCTGGAATGTCCTGCATTTCCTTAGGATGCCCCTATTTTCACTGGATAAATGTTGGAGGGTATGGAGTTATCCCACCCCCGAACCAAGGAGTTAAGCAACCATGTAACATTTAGAAGACATCTGAAGACCGCCCTGCATAGGGAAGTTTTTAAATGTTTTATTATGTTTTTATATATGTTGGAAGCCACCTACAGTGGCTGGGACAACCCAGTCAGATGGGTAGAGTATAATAATAATAATAATAATAGAACAGGAAGTATCCCATACCAGGACTTTCTCCTCTACCACTGCCCACCAAGAGTGGGCAAACAATAAATGTAAATTTTAGCTTTATAGGCTAGGTTCTGCCCACAAACACCCATCTCTCTCTCTATCTTCCATCCAGTCAAGGAAAACAAGAATCATTGTCAGATACGTATACCAGCCAGGGAAACACACTCAAGGTGGATGTAAAATGAAGTTGGTAAGGGGTGTGGTTTGGGCCGGTTCTGAACGGTCAGAAACAGAAAGAGGTTGCTTTTGGTCCGCAGAACTGAGGTTCTTCACCATTGATCTGGAACTTCCAGAGCTTAATTCAGCAAGATGGAGGTGCTTGTACTCTAGCAAGCCATATTCCCTTGGGAGAACTTGGAACAGATGGAAGGGCAAGCAGAATGGAGACCACAGAGTTCGGCAGAGAATGAAGGATTCTGGGGAATGTCTCCTGACATGTTGTTTGTCTTTTTCCTTTCTGGTATACAGGGGTCAAGTTTACTACAACATTCTATACATGTGGGAAAAATGATTCTTGTGCCAATGCTTTTACCATCACCATAGGAGACGGGAAACATTTGCGCTCCAGCTCCGCTTGCTGTACTGAAGATGGGTGCAACAAAAACTTAGATTGGGGAAGTAAGTCGTCACCTGCCCCTCTCTGATATCAGAAGTCCTTTTTATAGTGCGTTCAGGATGATTTGTGCCCATGAGGCTATTGGGCCAGTCACACACAATTCCACTCTCAATACTGTTTGCGTGTGCAGAGGTATTGGGCTGGTCATACTGCTTCATTTCCAATCAGTGCACATCCCATTACTTCCTGCTGAAAGCCCATCACCTTTCATGCCACAAATGTCCTGGTTTATTTTCGTCCCACTTCTGTTGCTCCACAGCCCCTCCAGTCAGCAATAATGCAGTAGGAAACACCACAGGACAAATGAAACCAGGAGAAATCCATCACTAATGCAGTGTTATAGTTTGAAGAACATGTTGCACAAATGAACCCGCAATAAAACACCAGTCTGGAGGGGCCCTTGGTTTCAGAATGATGAAAACATTCTCAATTAGCTTTTGAAACTTGGCAGGAACAGGGTGGAGTGGAGGAAGTTTTAGTCCCTCCACACCTTTCATCCTAACACAAGACAGGAAAGCTGTCAAACCTGTGACTCTAGACCTCATTCTTTTATTCTGACAAAGAATATGCTAACCAAGAGCTGGTGGGGGTGGGGAGGACTCAGTGGGTGGTTGTGTGAATGCATCAGGAAGGCTGCGGCTGCTGTGTCTGTGTGAAGCAGGCCTGTCAATGATCCAGTGGGGCTCTTCGGAGATTCTTATGTAAAAACTTTCCATATATGACAATTTGCTTCTTCCTTCTTTGCTTCCTAGTTCTCCCAACTACTTGGACTGAGAATGGGTACACTTGTCCAACTGGATGTTATGCTCAGACGGAGGAGAAATGCAAGGGTGGACAGGTCTTGTGCACAGATGGTCAAATGAATTGCATCAGTGCAACAGGAAGCTCTGGTAACCCTGAAGGGAATTAGGAAGGGAGGAGGAGGGTCAGGCTTGGCCTGGTTGTGAGTCAGAAGGCAGGATGATGGGGGCTGGGTGAGGGCAGACTGAAATGGAAGGGGTCGTGCCCCATTTGCTGTACTAGAGCAGCCGCCACTGATATCTGCTGATGATCCCCATATTTACCTGCAGGTGCCAAGAAGTTCGTCCTGCATGGTTGTGGAACAAGCAATATGTGCGGTGTAGAGAACTATGAAGTGACAATTGCAGGAATCCCCTACAAAATAGATAAAATATCATGTGTCGATGCCAAAAAGCCAGCACCAGCTGCAAAAGCTTAACCAGCCAGAAGTTCTGCATCAGGCACAACTCAGAGACCAGCCACAACTAAAACAACAACAAAATCGAGTGACAACCATATCTTGGGGAAGAGATTCTTCCTCCTCCTGCTACCTAGTATCTCCAGCCTTCTCTTTATGAAGTTTCTCTCCTGATCCCTCTCTCAATGCCAGCCACCTCGAAGGATTCATGCCATGAGCATTTTGGCACTGAAATGGACAGATCTGTCAAATTACAGTGCTATTAAGTTTCTCACTTTTTTAACCTTAAATTCAGTTCTCGACATTTCTATGGCAATTAGCTTCTTAAAAAAACTATTGCAAATCTGCTCACATTTTAGCATGGACTTACCCTAATAAACACAGCGTTTACATGCAGTTTGAGCAATAGACACAGAACATTTTTATCCGTAATATATGCACTTTCCTCACATAAATACATTTTTGTATACACTGTTTGGCTTATGAACTACATTGCAAAATTATGAGAAACGTGAAATTTGAAGGCTGAGTTTTAGGTTGCATATTGGTCTGGAAAGTGCAAATGAGTTAGTTTCTCATTAACATGCAGACAAAATTGAATTTCTTCCTCATCCTGATTTGAGTACCACAATACTTCCCCCCACCTCCTCCAAAGTGTGTTTTTGAAGTTCCAGACTGTTTCGTGAATGAAAGATTGCAGGCCCAATAAAGAATATTGAGTCCAAAAATGGTTTTGTTTGTTTCTTCCGGATGGTTATCAGCAATAATTTACTGCAGTGAAGGTCCCAACCAGAGGCTCCTTGCATGGCTGGAGGGAATACAAAATAAAACAAGGGAACCGCCTTGCATGGCTGGGGGGAATACAAAATAAAACAACTCATTAGCTATGTCTGAAATTATTGTATACAGTGGTACCTCAGGTTAAGAACTTAATTTGTTCTGGAGGTCCATTCTTAACCTGAAAATGTTCTTAACCTGAAGCACCACTTTAGCTAATGGGGCCTCCCGCCACAGCCGCGTGATTTCTGTTCTCAACCTGAAACAAAGTTCTTAACCCGAGGTACTATTTCTGGGTTAGTGGAGCCTGTAACCTGAAGCGTCTGTAACCTGAAGTGTCCGTAACCTGAGGTACCACTGTATATAAAAAGAGAGGAATCTCATTTAAAAAGAGTTAGAAAACCTAAACTCAAAATCAGAAGTAGAAAATCTTTAATAAAAAATATTTTTTTTAAAAGAAGAAGAAGAAGAGGAGGTGGAGGAGGAGGAGAAGGAAGTGGGGTGGTTAGCGGGATGGGTGAAGATCTGTATGTTACCTTTTCCAGTTTGCTTTGCTCTAAAGTTTTTGCAGTACTATAAGTGGGTTAGGCTAGCATAGAAACACACAAACATCTTTCTTCCTGCTGACACCATTCACCAATCTCATTATCATTCCCTCTACATTAACCCCCCAAGCTTCCTTTCCTTACCCCACAGTTATTAACCTCCAACCCCCATTTCTTCATGCAAAACTAGGTTTCTGATGGCGCACTGGAAATCTTCCAGTGCAATCCTGCAACTATGACCACCTTACGTTTTTGTTTTTTAAAAAAATGTAAAAAATGCACTGAGAGACTGGGGGACATGACTTGTTAATAATAATAACAATATTAATAGCAGCAGTAGCAACTTCTTCTTCTTCTTCTTCTTCTTCTTCTTCTTCTTCTTCTTCTTCTTCTCCTTCTTCTTCTTCTCCTTCTTCTCCTTCTTCTTCTCCTTCTCCTTCTTCTCCTCCTCCTCCTCCTCCTCCTCCTCCTCCTCCTCCTTCTTCTTCTTCTTCTCCTCCTCCTCCTCCTCCTCCTCCTCCTTCTTCTTCTTCTTCTTCTTCTTCTTCTTCTTCTTCTTCTTCTTCTTCTTCTTCTTCTTCTTCTTCTCCTTCTTCTCCTTCTTCTCCTTCTTCTTTCTACCCCACCCATTTGGCTGGGTTTCCCTAGCCACTCTGGATGGCTATCAACAAAATATTTAAAACACGGTAAAACAACAAAAATCAAAAACTTCCCTAAACAGGACTCCTTTCCGATGTCTTCCAAAAGTCAGATAGTTCTTTATTTCCTTGATATCTGGTGGAAGGGCATTCCACAAGGCAGGCACCACTACTGAGAAGGCCCTCTGCCTGGTTCCCTGTAACCTCACTTCTTGCAGTGAGGGAACCGCCAGAAGGCCCTCAGTGCTGGACCTCAGTGTCCTGGCTGGATGATGGGGGTGGAGACATTCCTTCAGGTATACTGGGCTGAAAGTGGTTTAGTGCTTTAAAGGTCAGCACCAACACTTTGAAATGTGCTTGGAAACATACTGGAAGCCAATGTGGGTCTTTCAGGCCCAGTGTTATGTGGTCTCATTGGCCACTCCCAGTCACCAGGCTAGCTGCCACATTCTGGGTTAGTTGTAGTTTCCAGGTCACCTTCAAAGGTAGCCCCACATAGAGCACATTGCAGTAGTCCAAGCAGGAGAGAACTAGAGCATGCACCACTCTGGCAAGACAGTCTGGGGCAGGTAGGATCTCAGCCTGCATACCAGATGGAGCTGGTAGACAGCTGCCCTGGACACAGAATTAACCTGCGCCTCCATGGACAGCTGTGAGTCTGAAATGACTCCCAGGCTGCACACATAGTTCTTCAGGGGCATAGTTACCCCATTCAGAAGCAGGGAGTTCTCCACACCAGCCTGCCCCCTATCCCCCAGAAACAGTACTTCTGCCTTGTCAGGATTCAACCTCAATCTGTTATATGCCATCCACCCTCCAACCGCCTCCATACATTCACACATGACATTCACTGCCTTCACTTGTTTTGATTTGAAAAAGAGGTAGAGCTGGGTATCATCCGCATACTGATGAACAGTCAGCACAACCCCCTGATGATCTCTCCTAGCGGCTTCATATAGGTATTAAAAAGCATGGAGGAGAGGACAGAACCCTGAGGCACCCCATAAGTGAGAGCCCAGGGGTCTGAAAACTCATCCCCCAACACCACTTTCTGGACATGGCCCAGGAGGAAGGAACAGAACCACTGTATAACAGTGCCCCAGGTCCCAGCTCCTTTAAATGGTTCAGAAGGATGTCATGGTTGATGGTATCAAAGGCCGCTGAGAGATCCAGCTGAACTAGGAAACAGCTTTCACCTTTGTCCCTAGCCCGCTAGAGATCATAGACCAGCACAACCAAGGCAGGTTCAGTCCCATGATGGGGCCTGAATCCCAAATGGAAGGGATCCAAATGGTTCGCATCCTCCAGGCGTGCCTGGAGTTGTTCCGCAACCAACCGCTCACTCACCTTGCCCAAGAATGGAAGATTTGAGACTGGGCAATAGTTGGCCATATTGGCCGGGACCAAAGATGTTTTTTAAAGAAATGGTTTAATAACCACCTCTTTCAGTGGGTCTGGGAAGGCTCCCTCATAGAGGGAAGCATTCACCACCCCACAGAGCCCTTTCTGGCTGACTTTTATAAGCCAGGATGGGCAAGGATCAAAGAGACAGATGGTTGGTTTCACTCGTCCAAGCAACCTGTCCACATCCTTGGAGGTAACAGATTGGAATTGATCCCATGCAACTTGACGAGACAGGACTCTAGTACTCTCCCCCGGCCCTGCTCCCATGGTGGAGTCTATCTCTTTCCGAATCTGAGAGACTTTATCTGCAAAAAAGTTGCAAAATCATTGCAGGAGATCTTGGGATCCTTACTAGGCCCCGATAGCAAAGGTGGTTCTGTTAGATTACGAACCACCTGAAAGAGTTTCCTGCTGCTGTTTTCTGCAAATGCAATAGAGGCAGTGAAGAAGTCCTCTTCATTGTCGCTGTCACCACTTGATAGGCTTGACATTGAGCTCTAACCCGTTTCCGGTACGATTCAGAACGAGTTTTCCGCCACCAGCACTCTAGTCGTCTCAACGAATGTTTCATTGCCCTCAGCTCTGCAGAAAACCACGGGGCTGTCCAGGCTCCATACAAATGGAGAAGGTGCTTCGGAGCCAGACAGTTCATAGCCCTGGTTAACTCTGCATTCCAGTGGGTCACCAGGGAATCAGCTGAAAGACCATCAACATGGGAATAATAATAATAATAATAATAATAATAATAATAATAATAATAATAATAATAATAATATTTATACCCCGCTCATCCCCCATCACCACTTTCTGGACACAGCCCAGGAGGAAGGAGTGGAACACTGTATAACATTGCCACCAGCTCCTCTAGATAGTCCAGAAGGATGTTATGATTGATGGTATCAAATGCCACCGAGAGATCCATCCCCTACCACTCTCTGGAAACCATTTGGATCCATCAAGTGATGGGGTGGAGCCAAGCTTGCTATAGCTATGAGAGGAGCAATGAGAGATACTCTTGGGGTGTCATATTCTGCACTTCCTCCACTGAAGGTTTTAGGTGCAAATATGTGTGAATAAACCATATTTCTAAGACATTGCAGACTCTGCTGTGTCCTGATTTTCCAATGGAAAAACACAAATCTTGGGTGAGTGCCTGGAACCCCCTAGAAACTTGTTACCACACGGCAGAAATTGAGGTACAAGTTGAATGGGATGTCTTCCCTGTCCCTATCCTCAAGCTTCTTAGCTGCTGCACCAGAGGGACTGCAACCCCATCCAGAGCAACAATCATCTGACTATCATGCATAGAGCTAGTCAGGGGACTTCAAGTGGGGTGTGGGCTTCAGTAGGTGCCCGGTGAGGCCAACGTCAGAGGCTGACTGTGCCAAAGGCTACAACCCTGTTTGCATTTGCAACAAAGCCAGGGGACTGTGATACAGGCAACAATGGCAGTTTTATTGCCAGGCAGTAAATCCAGCACTCCTGTTTTGGGAGTCAATCTCTGAACCTAGAGGAATGGCCTGAATTCATGCCAGCTGAACAGTAACAGCAAGATCCAAGGACATAGTGCAGCTCAGCTTTCTGCAGCAGAAGTAAGGAGGTCTGCATCAGGGTTGGAAAACGATTTCCCATGAGTTGGGCGATCAACAAATCCTTTGTCAAAGGAGAGACTCTCTCAGACACAGACCACTGTCTTCATCCCTTTCTCAATGGTGCCAGTCCAAGCCACTCCTGAACCACTATGATGCCAAACACCCACTGTCTCCCCCAAAGAATTCAGGGGGCTATAGTTTAAGAGGGCAGAGAATTGTTTGGAGACTCCCTTTTCTCGACACAGAGCTACAGTTCTCCACCCCTCTCCTCAGGGAACACAGAAATTGGAGCTCTGTGTTGGGATTTGGTGTCTCCTAACAACTCTCAGCACCTTTAACCACTCCCAGAAATGTTTGGGGGAAGCGTACTGTGCGGACATGGGTTTAGGGCTCATCCACATATCTGCTTGTTCCCTGCCTAGAAAACATGGGTCCAAGTGGTCTGAGTGGTTGTCCCCTTACCTCACTCCTTTTGCATGGAAAACCTGCTCTTTAGTGCTCAATCAGAACAAACATCCATCGGGGGGGGGGGGAGCCCAATTGCCATTTGCTCCAATTGTGTGCTAAAGAGCTGCTTCCTATCGGGAAAGCTGAGGGACCAGGGGAAGTGTGAATAAGCCCTTAGTTTCATCTAGGGCTTGGTAACACATGTCACACTAAGGGGAAAACAGAGACAGCAGCTCATGAAAGACCCAACGAACTTCCTGGTTTGGCTGCCAAACAGGAAGTGGGTAGATATGTCACGTAACTGAGCAGGTGACCCACAAAATGGCTGGTGGAGATTTTTTTGTTTGCTTATGGCATTTATACCTTGGCCTTTAGCCAAAACAGTGGACTACAGTGGTACCTTGGGTTAAGAACTTAATTTGTTCTGGGGGTCCATTCTTAACCTGAAACTGTTCTTAACCTGAGGCACCACTTTAGCTAATGGGGCCTCCTGCTGCTGCTGTGCCGCCAGAGCACGATTTCTGTTCTCATCCTGAAGCAAAGTTCTTAACCCGAGGTACTATTTTTGGGTTAGCGGAGTCTGTAACCTGAAGCGTCTGTAACCTGAAGTGTCTGTAACCTGAGGTACCACTGTATAAAAATCTTGACTAAGATGGTTCCTGCATTCAGGCTACACACCCTAAAAAGACATATCACATGTGGAAAAAGCAATGGCAAGGAGGAGTGAAAAGGAAGCCCAAGAACACGTTCTTCAAGTCACAGCCTGTCAGGCGTCAGGGAACCTGATCCCCCCATAGTAGGCTGCAAGGAATAGATGAGACAGGGAAAGTTCTTACCAAAACATTTTATTCAATATTCACAGAGGGAGACTTAGAAATGCAGCTTCTTGGAGTAATGGTGTTGCTCCAAGAAAATCTCCCCCCCCTTCTCTCAACTTCCTCAATTGTCAGCAGCAGCACCCACCTTATGTTGGCCGCGTAGGGTCATTTGTCTCCAAGCCCTTTGCTCCCCTACTTTCAAGGCCTGCCAGGTTCTAGGAGAAGGGGGGTCTGGAATGCTTTCTAGTGACAACTATCTGAAGAAGTGTGCATGCACACAAAAGCTTATACCAAGAACAAACTTAGTTGGTCTCTAAGGTGCTACTGGACAATTTTTTTATTTTTTTAATATATTTTTACTACGTCAAACCAACACGGCTACCTACCTGAATCTAGTGACAACGTGTCAGCCAACTGCTCCGGCTCTGCCTCCTCCTTTTCTCCCACAATTTCCCACTTTGCCTTTCATCTGCCTCACTATTCCTCTGTCCAGTCCCTGACCCAGTCAATGTCACTCATGGTTCTGCCTGTCTTTTGCTTCAATAAAAAGCAATCCCACCCCAAAACGACTCCACACACACACACACACACACACACACAGACCAGGGATACCAAATCCTAGGGCCCCCACTCTTCTGGGTCCTCCATATTTTTGGGGGGTGACCCCCCCATATTCCAAACAATCTGGGGGCAGAGGAGAATGAGCATGGAGCCAAGTGTGGGGTGGCAAAACGTGTCACCCTCCAGGTGTTGTTGAACTGGAGTTCCTGTCAGTTCCAGCCAGCATGGCTAATGGTTAGGGATGATGGAAGCTGCATCCATATCAAAATCCAGAGGGCCACAGGCTCACCATCCTTGAGTTTTGAGGCTCCTCTCTGAACTTTCCCTGTTTTCTGGAGCTGGCTGCACTAATCTCAGAACAGAGCAGGCAATAAATGATAATATGGCAGGGTGAGGAAGACGTGGGTCCAGATCTCCACTCATCTATGAAACTCCTTGAGTGATGCACTTTGGGCTACCCCAGGGGTTGGCAACCCAAGGCCCATGGGCCACAAGCGGCCCACAGAGGTCATTTAACCTGCCCTCAAGCTGCCTCCAAACCAAGCTGCCCGCTTGGCGAGTCCCTGCGCGCTGCGCTAAACTGGCACAGCGTGGCACGGGGACTCGCTTCTGTGGCACTGGAAATCGCATCTGCGCAGATACGGACAGCAAAAATCGTGATCCGGCCCATGGAGGGATCTCCGCTGGAGTGAACCGGCCCATGCAAGGTAAACCATGCCGACCCCTGAGCTACACACTATCTCTCAGCCGAACCTACCTCACAGGGTTGTTGTTAGAATAAAAGAGTGCTCCTGCCTTCCTGCCTGCTTGAGGATCCATAGAGGAGCGGGGGAATAAATGGAATAAGTAATAGTATGTAAGGTACATGCCAAACATTCCTAAAGCTAGAAATGCCTCAAGTTGGCATCAGTTTTGCCAAATTTGTTGTCAGAATCCACCGTTCATTCCAGGAAGTCCTGGCACAATAAGAGAAGCATCTCCACCCATTTTCTTTATGGGTATTTACACTACACAGCACTCCTTTTACTGTGGTTCATTGGAGCAACTCCCTAAAAGATGTTACAGCAGACCCATCTATAAAACGTCCTTTGCCCATACATCTGGGCACAAGAAGCAGTCAAGCTCAGCAATGATCTTAGCCCTACCTTACGACACCATGGTGCCTCTCCTTGTACTCTGCCTTCTTTCGCCACTCTTAGTTGCCTCTGCGGATACATGTAAGTTATTTATCATTGATCACATCCATTTTCCTACTATGCTGTTAGGGACAGAATTTTGCATGAGATTTATTTGTTTGTTTGTTACCCTCAGTCTCTCTCTCTCTCTCACACACACACACCCTAGGTAGCTATGTCACCTGCCGTGTAACTAGCAAAATGCTATTGCCTCGGTCGTTTCCTACTGCTGATTGATCTTCTCTTGGCTTTCTTGACAAAATCTCAATGTGCTGTAGCCAGTGGTGGGACTGGGGCCATTGAAGGCATGGGGTGGGGTGGGAAGGGGAATGTGCCCCTCTTAATGACACAGAAGATTGGTGTTTGTTAGTACACCATCTCTATACAGCACTCAAATGCCAGTTGTGCACCCCATTTTACAGGAGCAGCATGCACAGGATCTGCCATGTAAAGTTTTTTCTTTTTCCAAATATCCTTCATCGGATCTGTTTTCCTACTATGTGGTCAGGGACAAAATTGGAATCACATACCAAGTGTGCCATTGTTTAATGCTAATCTTGGAGGGTTAAAAACTTTGCAGAGAACTTTCTTACCACAGGAGGATCTGTATGCCAGCTTGAGAACGAGGAGGGGACAGAGGGTGAAAAAAGAGCTGTGAGTGGAGGGAGAAACTTTCCCCATCCTTTGGACCCCCTGGGAGACTTAATACATCTGCTGTACCTTGAAGTGGGTGTGGAGAGGGCAGCTGAATGGTACACAGCTGTGGGAAGCCTAAGGAAGTACCATTGACCTTGGGCTTGCCCATGAAAAGCAAGTCTATAGTGAGAGACTAGATCGATGGCCGCTGTTCTGTTTGCGAGGCTTTTGTGGGTGAGCTGAGAGTGTGTTTGTACCCTGGGTGAGAACCGAGAGGCTGAGAATGAAAGGAATTGTTGAATTATTTGAAGAGCAACTGTAATCAACAAATTAAGCTAGTAGGACTACAGGAAGTTTTGTAAGGAGAAATATACAAAGTGTTACAAAGTAGAAAAAGATAGAGATATTGGTTATGAGTTTGAAATGTAATAGGGAAAATAAGAAATGCATACTAAGAGATTAGATTGGAAAATTTTCAGGCAGGACTGATGGAAGTCAAAAAAATTGAATAAGATGTAAAAGTATGTTTAATTACTGTTGAAAATGATATGTTAAAAAACTAATAAAATTTATATGTATAAAAAAGAGATTGAAAGGAATTGCTATTGATTTATATCTATAATAGTAATGTTATATTAATGTAACGTTTTTATATGTAACTGTGTATTTTTGTAATGTTTTCTTTAAGCTGTCTGTTGTTGTTTCGGCTTTTTATACAACTCATAGCAAGGGGGGGCCCCAACTTGAATAAAATATTGGGGAGGGCGGGTAAGCCCCACCCTGCATGATCAATCACATGACATGGTGCACTCACAGCATTTGAATGGCAATGCCCATCTTCTTGGGGGGGCCCTCCCCCCGACATATTTTATGGGGGGAGGGCAAAGGGACCTTGGCCCCTAGGAATTGGCTCCTTTGCCTTTAGAGATAATTTTAATATATTAAGCAGCATAGAAATTAAGTAATCTATCAATCAATAATCAATTAAGGGCTAGACTCTGTATTTGGTGGGACACAGGTGGCACTATGAGAAGGTCGGCAGTTTGAATCCCCATGACGGGGTCAGCTCCCGTTGCTCGGTCCCTGCTCCTGCCAACCTAGCAGTTCGAAAGCACGAAGTGCAAGTAGATAAATAGGTACAGCTCCGGCAGGAAGGTAAATGGCATTTCCGTATACCGGTCTGGTTCGCCAGAAGTGGCTTAGTCATGCTGGCTAAGCCGTATGCTGGCTCCCTCGGTGAATAAAGCAAGATGAGCCCTGCAACCCCAGAGTCGTCCGCGACTGGACCTAATGGTCAGGGGTCCCTTTACCTTTACCATGCAGTCCGGGGAGGCAGACTTCCTTACTTTATGCCTTTCCCGTTTTCAGCCAAATTTCCAAAATTCAATTTAAATGTCCCGTTCCCGTCTGTCAATCTTACTCACGGGTTTTACGATCAAATTGTAGTTTCAGGAAGGAATCGGCGCTCTCCGTTCAATGGCGACGCGGCTTCACTCCGCAGGCTGGGTTACGACTCTCAGCACCGCGCTCACACCCGATGCCGCTCCGGAGCCTTTAAAAAGGCTCTTTTGCAGTACCGGGGGGCGCGAAAGGTGCCCGCCGAGTCTCCTTGTTCACAGGCTTCAGCGCCTGTGATTTTAGGGGTCCCCCGCTCGCCGTAGCGGGTCAGACCCGAACTCGCGGAGCAGTCCTCCCTCGGAGCTCGAGGCAAGGACCGCCATTAAACGCTGGCGCCGACCGGAAGTCCCCCACAATCCTATTCTCAGCCAGATGCCTATGGGCATCCCACAACTCAGACCTGCAACAGCATTCTCTTCACTTGTGATTCCCAGAAACTGGCTTCCAGAGACATTGCTGCCTTTGTGGTAGACAGAAAGCATAGCCATCACACTGAGTCACCACTGAGAATCTTCTCCTACCTGAATTTCTCTAATCCTCTTTTAAAGTTGGAGGCCATCACTGTCTCCTATGGGAGGAAGAAGGAATGGAAATAGAGTGTTCAAAGTCGACATAATTCCCTGCTTTCTTCCCCCTATCTACCCAAGTTGGCCTTTTGATTAGCTAGAAAACACATGTGCATTAAAATTTGTAAATTATGACAACAACCTTCATGTAAAGCACATGACATTCCCCAAATAATAATGGGAACTGTAGTTGGTTCAGGGTGCTGGGAATTGTTGTTCTGTGATGGGCAAATTACAGTTCCCGGGATTAGGGTGTGTGTGTGTGTCGTGTGTTTTAAATAAACTTTAAATGTATGGTGTGTACACAGCCAAGTTCTTATCCAGCAGAACGCATTTCACACTGCGATGAGCACTCTAGGAAAAACTTTGCCCAGAGTCAGCATTATGCACTGAATGGGACACGGGCTTTTCCCATTTTGTCCAATGCATGAGGGTTCTTCAGTCCCATAGTTGAATGATGCCCTTCTCTCTTCTTCCAGCTGTCTTGAAGTGTGTACAAGGAGCAGAAGTTTCTAACGCTTCGGACTGTGTCAGCGGTTTGGATGCCTGTGTGCTCATCAGGGACCAGAGCACAATGCTTGGTAAGGGAGGTGTTGGCCTTGCCTGGTGGCATCCTCCACGCTGTGCTACAATCTATCCAATGGAGGCTGGTGCCCATTAGGACTGGCCAATGATGGGCAGTGCCAAATCATTCTACTTTCATCCCCATCTCCTGCTCCCAGCTGAGTTCTGCAAGGGACAACCCTGAGACTAAGGAGGAGTTGGACCCTCCAAGTTTCCCTATTTTCCAGGGACAGTCCTAGATTTACAGAAGCTACCCCGGTTTCTGATTTGACCCTGGAATATCCTGCATTTCCTTGTGCTGTCCCTATTTTCACTGGATAAATGTTGGAGGGTATGGAGTTATCCGACCCCCAAACCAAGGAGATAAGTAACTATACAGCCTTTAGAAGACATCTGAAGGCAGCTCTGTATACGGAAGGTTTTTTAAAAAATGTTTATTTATGTTTCTATATATGTTGGAAGCTGCCCAGAGTGGCTGGGGCAACCCAGTCAGATGGGCAGGGTATAAATAGTATAAATAATAATAATAATAATAATAATAATAATAATAATAATAGAATAGGGGGTCTCTATTTTCATCAGTAAAATATAGTGGGTCCTCCTTGGTGGATGCCAGCAGAGGGCAGACTGAGGCTTGGACAGGAAGTACCCCATACTTTCTCCTCTACCAATTTTAGCTTTATAGGCTAGGTTCTGCCCACAAACACCCATCTCTCTCTCTATCTTCCACTCGGTCAAGGAAAACAGAAATCATTATCAGATTTCAATGACATATACCAGCCAGGCAAACACACTCAAGGAGGATGTAAAACAAAGTTGGTAAGGGGTGTGGATTGGGTCAGTTCCGAAGGGTCAGATACAGAAAGAGGTTGCCTTTGGTCCACAGACCTGAGGTTCTTCACCATTGATCTGGAACTTCCAGAGTTTCTTCAGCAAGATGGAGGCTCTACTCCACTGAGCCATATTCCTTTGGGAGAACTTGGAAAGGATGGAAGGGCAAGGCAGAGCGGAGACCATAGAGTTCAGGAGAGAATGAAGGATTCTGGGGAATGAGCTCTCCTGACCTGTTGTTTGTCTTTCTCTTCTTCCGGTAAACAGGCACCGAGTTTGACACAACAACCTATTCATGTGGAAAAAGTGATTCTTGTGCCAATGCTTACAACATCACCATAGGAAAAGACAAACATTTGCGCTCCAGCTCTGCTTGCTGTACTGAAGATGGGTGCAACGCAAAGTTAAATTGGACCTGTATGTCATAACCTACCCCTCTATGATATCAGAATTGCAGACATGAGCCACTCCAGAAGTTTTTTTATGGTGCATTCAGAATGATTTGTGCCCATGATGCTACTGGGGCAGTCACACACTATTCCATTCTCAATACTGTTTGCATGTGCATGGTCATACTGCTTAATTTCTATCAGTGCACATCCCATTACTTCTAGCTGAAATCCCATCGTTTTTCATACCACAAATGTCCTGGTTTATTTTCATCCCACAGTAGAATGCTGTAGAACTGGAGAAGCATCACAGAAGAAATGAAACCAGGAGAAATCCATCACTAATGCAGTGTTATAGTTTGAAGAACATGTTGCACAAATGAACCTGCAATAAAACACCAGTCTGGTGGGGCCCTTGGTTTCAGAATGATGAAAACATTTTCAATTAGCTTTTGAAACTTGGCAGGAACAGGGTGGAGTGGAGGAAGTTTTGGTACCTCCACACCTTTCATCCTAACACAAGACAGGAAAGGTGTCAAACCTGTGTCTCTAGACCTCATTCTTTCATTCTGACAAAGAATATGCTAACAAAGAGCTGGGACTGGGGAGGACTCAGTGGGTGGTTGTGTGAATGCATCAGGAAGGCTGCGGCTGCTGTGTCTATGTGAAGCAGGCCTGTCAATGATCCAATGGGGCTCTTCGGAGATTCTAATGTAAAAACTTTCCATATATGACCATTTGCCTCTTTCTTCTTTGCTTCCTAGCTCTTCAAGCTCCTTGGACTGAGAATGGGCTCACTTGCCCAAAAGGATGTTATGCTCAGACAGAGAAGGAGTGCACGGATGGACCCGTCTTATGCACAGATGGTCAAAGGAATTGCATCACTGTAGAAGGAAGCTCTGGTAACCCTGAAGATACTAAGCAAAGGAGGAGGAGGGATTCTGTGGGGTGGGGAGAGCAGGTGGGAGGGGAATGCTGCCTCTGGAGGATCTAGAGGTGGACCAACCATCAGGCAAGATGAGATGACTATCTCAGGCAGCAGAGCAAGAGACTTGCAGCCCTGACTCTTGGAAGACCATCTTCCAGGATGTTCTCTGGTGCAAGCATCATTGAAATGAACAAGTGCTGTGCCAGAGCATGGTGGGATTGCACCCATGATAAGGTGCTAATGGCATGTGTGCATCATCCTTTGGAACACTAAAGTGTCGAGTGTGGGATTGAGTCTGGGCCCATTCACATAAGTCCTTCTCATTTGAGTAGAACTTGGGACCATCCAATCAAGCTAAATGTTGGAACATTTCAGATGGGCAAAAGAAAATACTTCGTCACCCAGTGCATAGTTGAATGATGGGAATTGGTCCTATAAGACGTAGTGATGATGGCCACCACACTGGATGGCCTTCAAAAAGTATTAGACAGATTCAGCATAATGATAAGCCACATGGGCTTTCTTTTGCAACCAGTGTTGAAGAAATATGACTCTGAATACTATTGACTGGTATGCAGAGTTTGCACACAGCTTGGAGGTTTTCAGCTTCTGAATACTTGTTAGGAGAGGAGGCTTACTTTGATGCAGTCACACAGAGAGGCACTTGGCATCGGAGAATAAGTAGCGGGTTTATTATTGGAAATGCATGCTTGGATCGGAAAGAGGTTTCTTTTTCTCCCTAGCGCAGTTGGACTCCATGGCAGCCATGTTGTGAACATAAAATACAGTGGTACCTCGGGTTACAGATGCTTCAGGTTACAGACTCCACTAATCCAGAAATAGTACCTCAGGTTAAGAACTTTGCTTCAGGATGAGAACAGAAATTACATGGTGGCAACGGGAGGCCCCATTAGCTAAAGTGGTACCTCAGGTTAATAACAGTTTCAGGTTAAGAACAGACCTCCAGAACGAATTAAGTTCTTAACCTGAGGTACCACTATAAGATGTTGATGGTTGTGACAACCAAATATGTCACCTTGAGCTCCTAGCAGTAAAGGTGGGATACCTTTTTCAGATGGAGGATTAATTCTTTTAAAAAAACAACAACAATAAATGTAAAAATAAATTGTGGATGTGTTGACTGACCCAGGCTCTTTTGAGAGGAAGGGTGCTATAAATATTTAACAATTAAATAAATGTGCTTCCCAGAGGTCAGGTGCCCATGATGAGTGGAGCAGAATCAGAAGTGGGTGGAGCAAAAACATTGAGTCCCCCCCCCCATTTCACATGCACAACATGCAACCATCTTTCTCCTCCGTCCAGTCAAGCAAGTGTTCAAGCCCCAAAGGAGGGTGATAAGTAGGCTGCTTATGGATGTGGTTTGGGGGGACAGGCTGCCCCCCAGAAGGAGTTATAGCTCAAGGAGAATCACAGGCTCAGATAGAAACCCCTGAAATAAAAAATAATGAGAATTTGCCAAGTGTCCCCAAGTTGAACCACTTTCGCCCATATTTGTTTTTCTCATCTGCCTCTTCCTCTCCTCCCCAATCCAGCCCATGCCCAGGTTAAGAATGGATGGATCCCAATTGTTGCAAAATTCTTTCCACTGTGGCTGATGAACAGACACTTGTGGTCTCAGAGGTCTGAGCCCCAGGTTCATTCTTTGGCAGGTCCCTTTCCCTGTTTTTCCTTTCAGTTTGCTATAAAGGTGGCTGGGTGCTCTGCAAAGCACACTGGGCACCATGGGACCCCAGGCAACTACTATATAGAAATACAAATTCTGAAAATATAAGGTTCTACAATCAATTAGCATAGGACCGACCATAGGCAGAGCCCATGGCAGGCAGAGTAACTAGTCCTAGTTTTGTACCCATCTTCCTCCCTGTTCCGATCTACAAGAGGCAATGCCCCTAAGGAAAAGGAAGCTGATGGTGAAGCTCATCCGTTGGACTGGTTGTGAGGCAGAAGGCAGGCCGGTGGGGGCTGGGTGAGGGCAGATTGACATTGAAGGGGCCATGCCCCATTTGTTTTCCTAGAGCAGCTACCATTGACACCTGCTGATGATCCCCATATTTACCTGCAGGTGCCAAGACGTTCGTCCTGCATGGTTGTGGAACAAGCAATATGTGCGGTGTAGAGAACTATGCACTGACCATTGGAGGAACCCCCTACAAAATCAAAACAATAACATGTGTCCCTGCTGCAGAAAAAGCAGATCCTCCAAAACCTTAAAGAGCCAGAAATTCTGCATCAGCCACAACTTGGAAACCAGCCACAACTCCTAAAGCAACAATACCTAGTGCCAACCATACCTTGGGGAAGAACTCCTTCCTTCTCTTGCTACCCATGATCTCCAGCTTTCCCTTTATGAAGTTTCTCTCCTGAGCTCTCTTTCAATGCCAGCCACTTTGAAGGTTTCATGCCATGAGCATTTCGGCACTGGAATGGACAAATCTGTCAAATTTCAGTGCTTTTAACTTTCTCATTTAAAAAATAAAATGAAAATGAAAATCTGCCCACATTTAGCATGAATTTGCCCTAATAAACACAACTTTTGCATGCGGTTGGAACAATATACATAGTATGTTATTATCCCTAATATATACACTTTACTCGCATAAATGCATTTTCGCATACGCTGTTTGGTTGAAGAACTAAACTGCAAAATTCTGAGAAATGTGAAATTTGAAGGCTAGGTGGGTTTTAGTTTGCATATTGGTCAGGAAAATGCAAATGAGTTAGTTTCTCATTAACATGCATACAAAATTGAATTTCTTCCTCATCCTGATTTGAGTACCACAATACCTCCCGCACCTCCTCCAAAGTGTTTTTGAAGCTCCAGGCTGTTTTCTGAATGAAAGATTGCAGGCCCAATAAAGAATATTCAGTCCAAAAATGGTTTTGTTTGTTTCTTCTGGATGGCTGTCAACTTGGGTTTAACAAAGAGAAGGTGCCAGTCAGAGGTTCCTTCTGTGGCTCGGTGGGGTGGCACAGGTGAGCCTACAGAAGAGATCCTTGTGTTTCTTCCTAATGTACCTTTCTTCGTATTGATTCAAAAAGTGATGTGGCCATTCTGCTACAGAGGAACACTCCTTAGCTGTGTCCAAGATTATTGCATATATAAAAGAGATGAACCTCAGTTAAAACAAATGAAGAAACTAAAACCCAAAATCAGAAGCAAACCCCACTACCATTTCAGTCATACCTATGCTCCTAGACGCATCTCCATTTTGTCAAGCAAGAGGCATGAGCAGAACTCAAGGACATAAACCAGAGAGTGGAGCCCAACTGGTGAACTGTAGCAGATTCAGAAGTGTCGGGTCCCTTCATAGTGGGAATTGCCATGCCCCTTCTGAGGTTCTAGAACCTTCCAAGCTGCTAAGCTTCTGTTTAGCACAGGAGCGAAGAACGTTCTTATTTTGTAGGGTTGCCTTATTTTGAAGAATGAAAAAGAGGACACTATGACAGTTATGATTGCCGTTCAGAGCAAATAACTGCAATTCATCTCAAATTTTACCACTGAAAAGGAGGACGTGTCCTGGAAAAAGGGGAGACATGGTAACCCTAGCTTGAAGGAGCTGGTGGTCTGAGGAACAACAAAAGGAGGCATTGACAGTGGGAAGGGCTGCTTCCTAGTGGCCGAGCATCTCAGTGCCACAATTCCAAGAATGGTTTAACAACAAACCCCATTGCAACAGTCGGAGAAGGGCCATTTTGAAGGCTGCCCCTTTTTTTGATTTGCGTGTTCTTTTGGAATATACTGTTATGAACTTCCCAGAATCTCTACATCCACTGAAGGGTCCAACTTTGAGCAAACTCATGATGGATTCCTTCATTAAATATTTTTTCTTAAAAGTGTGTGCATTGTCTCTATTTTCAGAGCATAGAGTCTTTTCTACAGATCAGTTACATTCAATGTGAGACATTGATGTTGTTTACAGTATAAGGTTGGAGGAGAAGAGAGGGGGGACAGAGGGGAACCATGCCCTAACCTTTCACACTGCTAAGGGAAAATAACAAATGAACAGTTAAATAACCTACCCAAATGATGCTGAGACAAAAACCTCACACATATACTAAGTAAAATAACTTTCGGTTTGTGTCCTCCCCCCCCCCCGGAAACTACTGTTACGAAGGGAGAGGTGGGCAAACTCCCCATAATCTTTACATCCAGTGGAGGGTCAGAGTTTGAGCAAACTCATGGATTCCTGGACTTAGCAATGGCTGGGAATAGAACCAGAAAACTTCCTCATGAGGCCAGCCTGGTGATGGTGGGTCATTGAAGGGAACAATGGTGCTGATGGACAGCCATTAGCTCTCATCAACCATGTAGAAGGCCCTGGGGAGCAGGGGGGCATGATGTCACTGTGGGAAAGGAGGGTGTCCCTTGAGTCTACACAGACGTTTATTGGTAAGGCGTTCTTGAACAAGAAGGAGGAAGTACGCAGAACTCCATGCACGTTGGCTGGGAGAGGTTGCACCACGAAATGGAGGGCCATGACTGGCTGCTGCTTTGGAGCCAAGCTTGCTATAGCTATGAGAGGAGCAATGAGAGGTACCCCCTCCACTGAAGGCTTTAGGTGTAAATATGTGTGAATAAAGACTCTAAGTTCTAAGTTCTATGCAGACTACACTGTGTCTTGATTTTCCAGCGGATGAGCACTTGGAACCATCGAGAACATGGGCAGGCAAACTAAGGCCCGGGGGCCAGATCCAGCCCAATCAACTTCTAAATCCGGCCCGCGGATGGTCTGGGAATCAGCGTGTTTTTACATGAGTAGAATGTGTGCTTTTATTTAAAATTCATCTCTGGGTTATTTGTGGGGCATAGGAATTCGTTCCTTTCCGCCCCAAAAAATATAGTCCAGCCCCCCACAAGGTCTGAGGGACAGTGGACTGCCCCCCTGCTGAAAAAGAAGGTACATTCTTTCACCTTTGGTGGACGTGCCCAAGGATTAAGGCTTTCTGGGAGATGATATATAATGAAATGAAAAAGGTATTTAAATATACCTTTCTGAAGAAACCAGAGGCCTTTCTCCTGGGCATTGTTGGCCAATTGGTGCCAAAGAAGGATAGAACTTTCTTTATGTATGCTACGACAGCAGCAAGAATACTTATTGCAAAGTACTGGAAGACACAAGATTTACCCACTCTGGAAGAATGGCAGATGAAGGTGATGGACTATATGGAACTGGCGGAAATGACCGGCAGAATCCGAGACCAGGGAGAAGAGTCGGTGGAAGAAGATTGGAAGAAATTTAAAGACTATCTACAGAAACACTGCAAAATTAATGAATGTTAGAATGATGTTGGATTGAAGTTAAGCGGTTTTTAGTAGCAATGTTATAAAGGAATATGTAAAATCCTGAAAAAGTTTACTAACCCCTGATCTAGAATATTGTTACCACTTGACAGAGATTGGGATACAAGTTGAACGGGATGTTTCCCTGTCCCTGTCCTCAAGTGCGTTGGCTGCTCCTTCAGAGGGAGTGCACCCCACCCAGAATGACAATAACCTGACCACCATGCATAGAGCTAGTCATGGGTCCGCAACAGGGGTGTGGGCTTCAGTAGGTGCCTGGTAATGCCGACCTCAGATGCTGATCATGCCAAGGGCTCCAACACTGTTTGCATTTGCAACAAAGCCAGGGAGCTGCCATATGGGCAATCATGGCAGTTTTACTGCTAGGCAGTAAACCCAGCACTTCTGTTTTATGAGTTGAACTCTGGACCTAGGGGAAAGATCTTAATTCATGGCAGCTCAGCAGCGAGATCCAGGGACACACTACAGCTCAGGTCTCTGCAACTGGAGAAAGAGTCTGCCTCAGAGTCAGAGAAGGACCTTTGAGAAAGATCAACCATGAGTTGAGTGACCCATAAATTTGAGACTCTTTCAGGCAAAAGCCATTGGCCTCAGCCCTCTCTCAACTGTGCCAGTCCAAGACATCCCCAAAGCAAAGCCAAAATAGATGGGGGTCCACATTTTGGGGTAGGGTTGTGGAGCTTCAGGCATTGAGGAAGAATGTGGCCCTTAAAGTCTCCCTCTCTGGCCCTTGAACTCTTCCCAAGCCACACCCATCTCTTTGCACTCCAAGAGTTTTTGCTGGGGGTGGGGAGGAGATTTTCATTCAGTGCTGCTAATAACTGTTTCTCATCTGACTGGAGAGCAGAGAAGGCTTTGCCAGCATGTGTAGAAGCCAGCCTATTGTGCAAAGGTAAAAATGCTATTGGTTGCATTACTGTCCACTTCTGCTTTGGTCGCACCCATCACTGTCATGTGACCCTTGGCAGGTTGCAAAGAAGGGTATTCAGCCCTTGGTTAAAAAAGCATCCCCACCCTGCGCTCGGGCCGGCTTTAAAAATCTTGCTGCATGATTCATACACCAGTTCCTACCTTTTTATGCATTCATGAAGGTGTTTGCCCTACTTCACAGAGGACAGCCCTCTTCACATTGAGCTCTGGGAACTGCCGACATAGGCCTGGCAGAACAGAAACATTTTCTGCTAATGTTTAAAAAGATAATGAAGAATAGATCAAGACCAGCACTGGGCATTCAGCGTTGAGGGCGGCCACATTCCCTTCTGGTTGACATTCTAAAGGCCACTTTCCACTGGTGGGCAAAGCCAGAAGCAAAAACAAATGGAGCAATGAATGCATAGAGTATCAGAAACAAGCAAGATGAATTGGAGCTCTTAATAACACTTTAGTTGAGATTCATGCCTTGCAGACAGTTGGACTAGTTTAGCCTCTGTGATTCTTACAGGGAGCTAGTTTCTATATGCACTCACTCACCCCTCCCTATCCTGCATCCAGGAAGCAAGAGTCATTCTTAGAGGTCAAGGACACTTTTCCAGGCAAGCAAAAAACACCCCGGGAGGATGTGAAACAGCGAGAGGGCAGGGTGTGGCCAGAGGGACAAAGGGTGTGAGCCAGAAGGGGATTTCACCTGGGGAGAGACCCAAGGGTCAGACAGAAAGGCCTGTGTCTGGATGCATAGATATAATAAAACATGAAAAGTGTTTTCCTTACCGCAGTTAAGAATTAATTGAAGGAGCTTGATAAGGAAGGCTTGTTGGCTGCTGCATCAGTTAGCAGACCTGGTTATATCTTAACTCGCATGCAGTAAATTTGCCTCTTGCAATGTCACGCTCCTACCAGCCACACGTGAAACTTTCCATTGCTCTCTCTGCCCAGGGTTCTTTGAGATTATGGCTACTGTACACCGTTTCAGGAAGCGAACATGTCAGCATTTCCAAGAAGTCAGGGAAGTGGTGCCTTGACCTCTGTTTCCTTCTCTGGCTCAGTGCATGATCATATGATGGATCCATTTCCTTCCTTCCCTCTCAACTCCTGAGGGCCAGCTCTGCCTTCCTCATCACCCTCCCATGAGTTAGATGGAAACCCTAGCTCAGTTGGTAGAGCGTGAGACTCTTTAGTCTCAGGCTTGTGGGTTCTAATCCCACGTTGGGCAAAAGGATTTTGCGTTGCAAGGGCTTGGACGAGATGGCCCTCGTGGTCCCTTCCAATTCTGTGGTACCATCTGCAGAGGATTGCCTGCTTCACTCTGGGGACCCTTAATTTTTGCTATCTTTGACCTATAGAGACTTAGAAGGTTCTGTAGCCCATGATGCCAGGTACCAGCTTTCACCATGTAAACCTATGAAGATCCTGCAGTCATCACCACCTTTCCCACAAGAGGTGGCCATCTGTCATGGATGCTTTAGCTTAGATTCCTGCATTGCAGGGGGTTGGACTAGATGACCATTGAGTCCCTTCCAACTCTTAAGATTCTATGCTTCTACGATCATCCAAGCTGTGATGGCCTGGGA